TGATGATGATGATGATGATGATGATGATGATGATGATGATGATGATGATGATGTGATGATGATGATGATGATGATGATGATGATGATGATGATGATGATGATGATGATGATGATGATGATGATGATGATGATGATGATGATGATGATGATGATGATGATGATGATGATGATGATGATGATGATGATGATGATGATGATGATGATGATGATGATGATGATGATGATGATGATGATGATGATGATGATGATGATGATGATGATGATGATGATGAGATGTGATGATGATGATGATGATGATGATGATGATGATGATGATGATGATGATGATGATGATGATGATGATGATGATGATGATGATGATGATGATGATGATGATGATTGATGATGATGATGATGATGATGATGATGATGATGATGATGATGATGATGATGATGATGATGATGGTGGTGGTGATGATGATGATGATGATGATGATGATGATGATGATGATGATGATGATGATGATGATGATGATGATGATGATGATGATGATGATGATGATGATGATGATGATGATGATGATGATGATGATGATGATGATGATGATGATGATGATGATGATGATGATGATGATGATGATGATGATGATGATGATGATGATGATGATGATGATGATGATGATGATGATGATGATGATGATGATGATGATGATGATGATGATGATGATGATGATGATGATGATGATGATGATGATGATGATGATGATGATGATGATGATGATGATGATGATGATGATGATGATGATGATGATGATGATGATGATGATGATGATGATGATGATGATGATGATGATGATGATGATGATGATGATGATGATGATGATGATGATGATGATGATGATGATGATGATGATGATGATGATGATGATGATGATGATGATGATGATGATGATGATGATGATGATGATGATGATGATGATGATGATGATGATGATGATGATGATGATGATGATGATGATGATGATGATGACGATGATGATGATGATGAATATGATGTTGATGGTGATTACGATGACGATGATGAGGATGATAATGATGGCGATGATGCTGATGATGAATATGATGTTGATGGTGATTACGATGACGATGATGAGGATGATGATGCTGATGACGATGACGATGCTGCTGCTGCTGCTGATGATGATGATGATGACGATGCTGCTGCTGCTGCTGATGATGATGATGATGTTGATGATGATGATGATGATGATGATGATGATGATGATGATGATGATGATGATGATGATGATGATGATGATGATGATGATGATGATGATGATGATGATGATGATGATGATGATGATGATGATGATGATGATGATGATGATGATTCGTGTATGCGCCAACTTTCGAGCGTTTAATCGACATATAATTGTGGACAATTCCCTCTGCCTTCTACTAACTGGTTTATGGTTAGGCTTTCAAACACCAAACTTTTCTCAAACCTGGATATTGTTAGTGCATACTACTACATGCCATCGACTCCAGCTTGCTGAGATTTGACTGATTTCCTCATGCTACCAATAAGCGTTAGTACTTCCCAACAGCTTGGCGGAAATGTATTGCTCTGTCAATATCAGATCTCAAAGGATTTGTTTTGTATATGGATGATATTTGTGTCTTTAGTAACTACTCTACTTAAAACCAGGAATGCCTTCATATTGGGCTGCACAGACTGAATGAACTGAATCTCCGCCTGAATACCAGCAAATGTCAATTCGCTTTAATGATGGTCGAGTTTATTGGACACGTTATTTCTACCTGGGGTATTAAGCCTAAGGTGCAGAACACCAGAGCCATTCTCGATTGTCCAAAACCATGCAATGTTACGGCGTGCATCTACACATTATTTATTTTTTATTTACACAGATGAAACATTTGTTGGGTTTTTTATTACCTTCGATATTTACCGAATTTTGCGACCATTGCCGAGCCGTTACGCAGGTTGACGCGCTAAAAGCAGGAGTTTCGTTGGGCCAGGGAACTAGGCGACGCTTACATGGCCATACGAGTGATGATTGAAACCACTCCCATGGTAGCTATCTTCAATGAGCACTGTCCAACGTTTGCTACAACGGATGCTTTAGATGTTGGCTTGGGTGCAGTTCTGTCCCAACTGCACGATGACGAGGAGAAAGTGATTGTGTCCGCATGGCGTACCTTGTCTGATACTGAAAAAATTTATTCCACCGGTGAGAAGGGGGCACTCGCATGCGTCTGGACATGTGGGAAATGACACTTTTACTTATTCAGACGTCGATTCACTTTGCGCATCGATCATTCTGCTCTTACAACGCTACTAAGTCGCGATAAGAAAAGCCGAAGCCGGTACAGTTGAATCGCTGGTACTCACGTTTATCGAACTGTGATTATGAAACAAAATACGTGCCAGGGTGCTTTAACCAACTTGCAGATGTCCTGTCGAGACTCCCACTGTCCAAAGAAATGGAAAACGAGGACTTAAAGGAGATAAAAAGGATATCGCATCTCTCAGACAGAACATCTACAATAACATTTGACCTGATACGACAGCACACTGACAAGAACTCTGTCTTAGCGAAGCTTCGGGAGTACATATCCACTTCATGGCCCAATCGTACCAAGGTCCAATCTGAGTTACTTCCATACTATACTCCACGACAAGAGCTTTCTACTGTGAGCAACTGCATTATTAGAAACGAGCAGTTTGTGGCCTCCGCAACCTTTATTCCTCTGTTGGTTTCATGTGCGCATGAACGTTATCCAGGGATTGTGCAAACAAAAGCTCGGATACGACAATACTATTGGTGGCCGAAGTTGAATTCCAGCGTCGGGGCAGATATTCGGGATTGTTACGCTTGTCAACAATCCGATAAGAGTGCGAGGTCCACTGAATGCTCCAGTTCAACCTATCGTGTACCCAATGAAGCCATGGGCAAAATTTGCCACGGATTTTATGGCCTGTTTGCCAATGCACCCCCGCAGAAGCGAAAAGTGCAAGTGCCTACACGTTTCTACAGGAAATGGCCAGAGGCTATTCTATGCGGGGACGTAACTACAACCGTTATCATAAAGTGGCTCGGTTGTTTGTTTGCAAGATACGGTTTGCCAGAAGAAATAGTCACTGATGACAGTCCACAGTTTCGAAGTAACAAGTAACTGAATTCCTAAGGCGCAATGGTATCAAACACACGAGGAATGTACCTTATATTCCTGCAGCGAATGGACTCGTCGAACGTGTTAAGCGTACTTTGAAGGAATCTTGACAGGTGTTTCGGCTTTTAGGAGAATCCTGGGATAATGTGTTGGTATCTGCATTGGAGGTATACAGAACCACTCCATATACTGCAATGGCAACGACCCCGTCGGGGCTAATGCCAAGGCAAACAATTTGAACTCGATTAAATACATCCGAAGAAACCGCGGATCACAGAGAATACCAAAGAGGGGCTTTTTACTGGGCGAAATGTAGACGCGTTGGGAGAACTTATCCTCCAGGGACATTTGTTCGTGTGAGACTACCCTATTCCCGGAAAGTAGGTAAGGTATTCGGACCCCAGATCAGTGTGGAATCTGTGTGCACGCCTAGAAGTTACAAGTTGGCTGATGGGACAAAGGTGAATGCAAGGCTGCTGCATACAGCGCTTTCCCAACGTGTTATTGAACAGATGAACACACCTACAACACAGCGCTCCGTACAAACTAACAACGTTCCGGTCGGATACGCCGCCCTGTCTACCGATGGGCTTTAACGGATAACAGCACACAATTCTTCGGGGTGCTGGTATGTAGTGCCCATAACAATGTCGTGTTCAAATAACTCGCTTTGTTTTTGACCTCGATTCGCTTAGCCTGTGTAGCATCTATGTAGCACTTGTTGGCCTATCAAGTGACCTTGCATTTGCTTGGTTACAGTTCGCACCTCTATCGATTTAATTGTACTGCGCGCGTGTGTGGACATTTTTCTGCATACCCACGTTCCGGTGCTGCTTTGGTCCGCTGATTTTTCGGGATACAACGCAGAGCAGCTGCTCATACCGGCTCGTGACGAATGTACTGCAACAAGCAACTGTCGAACGTGACCTAGTTCAAGTGGACTGGGGTTGCTACATGCAATCCGAAAGGCATCGAAGACTAGAGACCAAAACGTCGGGCTGTTGTGACGGACATTTGGACAAATAAATAGCTCCATATTTCGAAAAATGCTCAATGTGCATGTCTGCCTCCATGACGAATACGTAATTCAAACCTGGCATCCATGGCTGAACCACGACCTTAATGCACTGGAGGGGCCACAACGTCGGGCATCCAAGAGCGTAATCGGAATGCGCAATCACAAGGTCTGCCCCTACTTGCTTCTCTCCAATTCTGGCGGCTTGTTCGACTAGTGAATCATCCGCTGACCATCTTGTTTGTCAGTGCATAGATTAGTGACTATATGTGTGAAATCATATCGATAATACTTCCTCCACGTCACTTTCCAACCTAGCAGTCACTTCAGACAGGCTAGTGTTAACTTCGCACCTGGTCAGTTTACATCCCTTCCAGCAAACATCATAGCGATAGTAAGACAGCATGTGAAACTAAAACGTGCGATTATGTTCCAGTTGCTGTTGACGATTTATATTCAGACCTTCGCATTAGATACATTTACAAGCATTATAGCTGCTTAGTAAAATTGGTGCCAGCTTTGGCCAACGACGTAACGCATCGACGCTTTAGTTGGACTCATATTTTAAGTGAACGGCCATGTTAACTTGTGTATTTGGAGGAAACTCAAATCGACTCTTTATCATCTATTTTCACCTGTATATAGTGTATATATAAATATATATATAAATATATAAGTCTGGATAAAACAACATGAGCTCTTCGTCTTACAATGTGTTTGCACTACTGAAAGTTTTGTGATGATAATCTTCTAGAGAATTACGCTTGCTCCCAGTTATTGCGAAAGCTATTGCTCTCTTTCGTCTCTTCAGATGCAGAATTAGAAGCGAAGATTACAGAGGCTTTCGATCTATTTGACCATGAGAGAAACAAAACAATCGACTTTCGCGAGTTGGGGACTGTCATTCGTGCGATTGGTGGCGTTCCGACAGAGGCGGAAATTCTGCGGCTAGTTCGCGAGGTAGGTTGATAACAGATTGAATATTGGTTCATGAACAGTTGGAAAATGATCCACCCAATGGGTATATAAATTTTGAAAAATTTCTCCCTGCTGTGATGGAAGCGATGGAACAAGAAAGGTAGAATCAATTATCTGTACATGTTATTTCGAAGATACAAGGGCGCGTCGGAAGAAGAACTTTTGAAGGCCTTCGCGGTTCTTGATCCGGAGAAAAAGGGGTTTATCCCAGCCTCAACCTTGGAAAACTTACTCGCAAATGAAGGTAAACATGTGGATTCATGTTACCTAGATAACCGCTTTGTCACAGGAGAAGCTTTCACTGCTGATGAACTTGAGGAGCTAATTGCTGCCGCGACTGATCCTTCTAAAGGAAAAATAGCTTACCGTGAATTCGTTGTTATGCTGACTGCATATGACGATGTAACATAAGTTCTAGCAATCACACATAAATAGTACTAATCAGTTGAATGCAATTTTTCACGTTATTCATGGCAATGCCTTCGGGGTGTCGCGAAAATACGTTTGCATCTTTAATCCCCATTTATCATTGTTGTTACACTAAGTCGAAATGCGGTGGATCCGGTCATCCTCATTTACAGTACCATCAGAACCGTGCCTTATGATAGTGGAGCAACGAATGAATAAGCCAAATCATGTAACAGTGCACAATGCTTTGAAAGATAGCAAGCGTGCTTAACTGGATGAAAGACCAATGGCAAAACTAGTCTACAGCGAGATCGCCGGAGAGCTTTGTACTAACCGGGAATGAATCGTAGCAGACAGAAAAGTCAAATAGCGAAATGTTTATCAGAGAGCATCTGCATTTGTTATAGCTAAGATGACACTGAAACTAAGTCTAGATTGGGAGATTTTGTACTACCTATGCCGTTAGCGATGTGGGAATTGACAACATTAGGTGCATGTCAAAAAGTGTGTTTACACAAACAACTGCTGGCAGATATCAAACAAATCAACCACTTAGTTCACCTAGATACAAAACGAAACTGAGATGCTAACATGTTCTATAGGATAAGGCTTGTTACATTCAAAGTGTAAAAGACTTCGTTGAAATTCCGATCGTATGTACGGCGGAAGCAGTGTAACCCACTTTCTGCTAGAGTCCGTTCCTAAAGGCAATGCTTGATATGTGATTAAATGCGTTAGATTTTTCCATTACTAATGATTTTTTGTCGGCAATTTTAGATGACATACTAATCCACTTTATTTTGAAATCACTTTGGCCAACCAAGTTTACTTTTGAAAAAAGACTTCCATTCCTTGCATGATCACATAAATAAATCATTTATTCTCGTCAAGGCAAGGCACGCCTTTACAGGCATGATCATTTCGATATAACAATGCGTGATCAAGAATGTGCAAAAATCCGAAATGTTTGTCATAGCAATGCATGTTTGTATAGAGGGGGTATTTAAGTATGTAGTTGTGTGTATGTAGCTGTGTAGTGTGTGCTTGTAATTGTGCTGCTCCATGCTTCAATATTCGATATCCTCAACAACATTCAAGTAGAAGATTGGGGTTCATGAGTTGAACGGTACCCCAATTCTCACGTAATGCGCCAAAGCATGCAGAGTTACGCACAAACTGCACGATCACCTCCGTCAGTAGCTGGGCAACAACAATTGACGCCTACAGATAGTGCAACTAACGGCGTTGCACGTAAAAATTCTTGCTGTAGCCTTGGCCTATCGTCCAAGGAAGACAAGCCAGATACCCCCACTCGACAAAACTCTGCTCACAAGGAACTGTAGAACAAAAAATTACTATGCAGCCAAAAGACGATGACAGTAATAAGTTCAAACGTCCCAGAACCCACTAGCGAATCGTTAAAAGGTAGATAAGTCGAGGAGCAAAACCGCTGGGCTGAAATAACCTGCGCACTCGGACTGAAAGTTCTCCCAACTAGCCTTACAGGCCTTTCACGAAATCCATCATCTCCACACTTAGGGGAACCTCGGTTACTGCGAGTAACGTTTAGCAACACGCGCCACCTGAAAGATGTTCTCTTAACAAGCCACATGCTAGTGAACTCTTCTGTCATTACCCGCATTTTTCCTGACAGGCCATGGGCAGAAAGACAGAAGCGGAAATCCAACCCTAGTTCGTCACGTCAAAATGTGATGAAGAAAGTGGTACTGGTTCATGGTGCGCCAGAATTGAAGCATGACGATAGCAGTGAACGACAGAAGCACGGCATCGAAGAATGGCGGTACATCACAGAACTATACGACATGAAGAATGTCGTGGCTTTTGACGTCACCCGTCTAATTGCTTCCACAAACTACCAATGTAGCGGGCTAAGAATTTTGAAAGTTACCTTAGCTGCGCCCGAAATGGTATCAGTGGCAATCCAAGCATGGCATGACAACAGAAAACTTGGGCCACCCGAAGTATGGTTAAGACAATTCGTTCAATAAGTACAGACTTCAGATACATATGAGCCAGCCTCAATTGTGCCTATCTCAAACCATCCAACTGTGCAAACAACCGTTTCAAAAACCTTCAGCAGTCCGGTACTATTTATGCCGGTCACTCACAGCGAACCGAGCTCCTGATGCGTCAACACATACAATGCCACTACACCAACACTCAGGGGTTGCATTCTAAGCTCTCGGAGCTGCGTCATCGACATGAAACAACAAGTTGAGACCTCATAGCAGTTATTGAAACTTGGTTCTCAAACGGCATACTTGATCCAGAGATTGAACTCAGTGAGATGTCAGTCATTCGAAATGATCGTCCATCTCGCGGTGGCGGTGTTGCTCTCTACTATCGAGATTATTTGAAATGTGAGGATCTTACCCGAAATTCCCTTGTTATTCCCGACGCACTATTTTGCCGACTGCAACTAGCAGGTCGAGATGTTGGTTCACAGAAGAAGAGTGATGCTTGCCTCTTAGCAGTTATCTATATACCTCCGAACTCATCAGCAGACAGTGATAACATTCTGTTAAACGCCATCCGCTATGCTGTTTCACAAAAGTACTCTCACTGTCTTATAATGGGTGAATTTAATGTTCCTTCAATAGCATCAATGTCCCCTAATGGGCCATCAGTTAAATCGAAACTTCTCGCATTCACGGATATGGCGGTTCTGTATAACCATGTGCATCGACCAACCAGACATCGCGGTTCAAACAAGCCATCACTCCTGGACTTAATCCTGACTAATGAAGAGTTGATGGTTGAGCCAGAAGCATACGATCCTTCACTGGGCCTTAGCGACAATTTAGTCCTAACATTTGGTTATATATATTATGCCAGTATTGTTGCTAAAGAAAGAGAGACTCAACGAACTATTACGGACTATTTTAAGCTGCGCAGCTTAGCAGTAACGGTTGACTGGGACCTACAGACGCACAGCTCAGCGAATGACTTGTGGAATGAACTGAAAGACAAAATTAAGTGGGTCATACAATCAGCATCGAAGGTTGTACCATTACGAGCATCGCGTCGGACCAATACGTGCATCCGGAGCAGAACACGTAAATGGATCAACAGAAGAGATGAAATCTTGAGGCAACATTTGCTAAGCCCATGTGATATCACATGGCAGAATTACAAAGTCATCAGAAACTACTGCACAGCACTTATTAGAGTCGATAAGTACGAATGGCAGGAGAATATGATGCTGAAATTTACGAGTAACACCAAACTGCTATACAGATTTGTGAATGGCAAAAGAAAGGTTAATCCCGGAATACCACCACTCAGGACGGCCAGTGGCCTAACAACTACTGCTGTGGATGCCGCGAACACTCTACTCTTGCAGTTTGGCTCGGTAGCTATAAATGTCATGGAACCTTCGCCCTATCAACTCCCAACCAATGTCGCTGGTTTATCCAGCGTCACCTTTACTCCAGCAGCTGTTACAAGCAAATTGCAATCTCTCCGGGAGTACAGTGCCCCTGGAATAAACAAGATCAGCCCAAAAGTACTAAAAACCCTTGCTTCCACCATAGCAGCACCACTTGCAACCTTTTTCCAGGGTCTGGTTAACTCCCATACACTCCCATCTGAGTGGAAAAATGGAATTATCACTCCAATATATAAAGGTAAGCGCTTGGATCCTGCTAACTACCGACCTATTACTCTCCTTCCTGTTTTATCAAAAGTGATGGAATCGGTAATCGCAGATGAACTGACGCGATACTTTGAAAGTCAACAGATAATTTCTAATGCCCGACATGGTTTTCGACGCAGACGATCTTGTCTCACAAATTTGCTAATTACTCGGGACTTATGGACCAGGGGGCTGATGAAGGAGTGCCCATAGATGTGATATACCTGGATTTTTCTAAAGCATACGACAAGGTCAATCACTTCTTACTCCTCCACAAGCTTGCTGCCTACGGTATCAACGGTTCCCTGCTCACCTGGTTAGAAGACTACTTACACGACAGAGCAATCAAGGTAAGAGTAGCCGACACCTATTCTGAAAGCCATTGCGTCTCCAGTGGTGTACCACAAAGATCCGTACTCTGCCCGCTACTGTTTTTAATCTACATTAATGACCTTCCAGCAGACATTTTATCTCCTATGCAAATATTTGCAGACGATGCTAAAATATGGAGAGCAATTCGCTCAGCATCCGACCGTGTCTACCTCCAGGAAGATCTGACTCGGATTAACGAATGGGCAGAAAAGAACCAGCTCTTACTGAACCCTGCAAAGTGCCACCTGCTGTCGGTGCACAACAGCTTCGTCAACACACCTTTTGGGGCAACACGTCATGCAACACGTGACCAGTGAACGCGACTTAGGTAAAATCGTGCAAGAGAGTCTTGGAAATTCGCTCCAATGTTCGAAAGCAGCAAGTGTGGCGAACTTGAACTTGAGACTTTTGAGGCGAGCTCTCGGCACTTTTGATCGACGGCTAGTATCATTGTTGATTAACTCATACATTCGTTCTCATGTTGAATATGCAATTCAGGCATAGTGTCCATGGTTAAAACGAGACATCCGCCTACTGGAACAGCCCCAAAGAAGAGTCACATAGGCAACGCGTGGACTATCCTGTATAAGTTACGAAGTGCGTCTTCATGTACTCGGTGTGTTCTCATTAGAATACCGATGGCTTCGCGGAGATCTTACTCTCACATACCGGATACTAACCGAAAGCGAGCATCCATGTACATCACTGTTGACTCTAGCCCCTTACAAACAAAAGCGAGGCAATCACCTGAAACTAATGACGCAACACTCTCGTTTGAATTGTAGACAGTATCTTTTCTCACTTAGAATCGGTTCTCACTGGAATGCATTACCTAAGTATGTGTCGAAAGCACCAGACATGACGACATTCGAAAGACTCTTAGATTTTCATCTTAGTGATAAACGATACAAACACTTTGCTAAAGTGCAATGATTTAACCACTGATACTTTACGTTTCACGTTGGAACATTTTGATTTAATTTTCTTTTGCATTCCATCCCGTGGGTCTTGTAAAGTTATGCTTTTTATCCCATCATACACCATTGAATCCGGATATCCACCGGGCAGTGAGTTTATTTTGTGGTGGGCCACGACCGCCATACCATTGTTGTTAGACAGACATTTGTGGCTTTTTCTAAGAAGAACGCTTGTCAGGC